TGTGTGTGTATGTGTGTGTCCGTGTGTGTGTTTGTAAGTGTGTGTGTGTGTACATACGTGTGTTTGTACGTGTGTGCGTGTTTGTGTGTGTGTGTGCCGTGGGAGAGGCAAAACAATGTTCACTTTATGAAGGAACCCCATTTGTTATACAGGAATTTTTGTTCACTGGTGCGTTATTCATCTGTTTTCATTCTTATTTTTTCCTCTATTTTATGCTGTCTGTCCTCTAGGATACAAATCCTTTTTTCTTTCGTCCTTTCATTCTTTCTTTCTTTCTTTTTTACCTTCTAATTTTTGTCAGCCATCCTCTTTGGCTTCTTTCTTTCTTTCTTTGTGCCATTCATTTTTATGTTCTTTCTTTCTTGTTTACTTTGTAATTTTTTGACGTCCATCCTCTTGGGTTTCTTTCTTTCTTTCTTTCTTTCTTTCTTTCTTTCTTTCTTTGTCGTACATCCTCTTGGCTTTCTTTCTTTCATTGTGCCATTCATTTTCTTTATTTTTCATTTCATTTTCTTTCTTTCTGGTTTAATTTATAATTTTTTGTTGTCCATCCTCTTGGGTTTCTTTCTTTCTTTCTTTCTTACTTTCTTTCTTTCTTTCTTTCTTGTTTACCTTCTAATTTTTGTCATCCATCCTCTTTGGCTTCTTACTTTTTTGTTACTTTTTTCTTTTCTCTTTCTTTCTTTCTTTCTTTCTTTCTTTCTTTCTTTCTTTCTTTCTTTCTTTCTTTCTTTCTTTCTTTGTCGTTCATCCTCTTGGGTTTCTTTCTTTCTTTCTTTCTTTGTGCCATTCATTTTCATGTTCGTTCTTTCTTGTTTACTTTATAATTTTTTGACGTCCATCCTCTTGGATTTCTTTCTTTCTTTCTTTCTTTATTTCTTTCTTTCTTTCTTTCTATCCTCCATCCTTCCTACTTTTCTATCTTTGCTTTCTTTTGTTTTCATCGCCTGTCGTAGTGATATTTAATAATCCTAGTTTAGTACAGCATATAATTAACGAAGAGGACTATCAAGAGGACACTGTTGCGTCAATCTTCCAAGTAGAATAGGTCTGCCTAGAAAATCCGCGTTCAAAATTCTACATCTGCTCCAACACCACCCTCTGGCATTGGCAGGAAATACGTAGCCATCACAGTCACAAAGTATATTCATTTATTTTCTGTTAATGTTCTTTTTGCGCGTTTTTTTCTTTCTTTCGTTTTTTAATCTTCATTTCTTTGTTACGTTTCTGTTTCTTTCTAGTCTATTTCTTTCTTTTTATTCTTCATTATTCCTTCTTTCATGTTTTTTTTTGTATCTTCACAACACATCCTTCCTTCCGCATCCGTTTCATGTCTTTCCTTTTGATTCTTAGGATTCATTTCCTGTCTTGTTATATTTTGTTTCTCTTCGTGTTTATTTTTTCCGGCTTACTGCTGTCTCCTGTTCTGGGAGAGTTCACACGTGAAAAAGGTAACGAGAGGGAGGGAGAAATAAAAAGAAAGAAAGAAAGAGAGGAGTGGGTAAATAAAAAAAGAGAGAGATATGTGAACGAAAAGGCATATATTGCCATTGGTTGAGGCGAGGGAACGACAGGAAGAAAGACTTGAATTGATTGTTATCCCAGATTTGGTTGCCAGCAAAAGGAACAACCCTACTACAATTTAGAGATACGAAAATCAAGCAAGTAGAAAAATTAAATATCTGGTAAGTGTTTTAACAGATGACAGTAAATGCGACACCTAAATCCGAAGGCGAATTAGAATAAGGAACGATACTTTCCAAAAGCTAAGCAAGGTATTAAGAAAGAGGAAATTTTCATTAAAAGCAAAGAAAAGAGTACTAAATGGTTATGCAATAACAGTCATCCTCTGTGGCTGTAAATGTTAGACAATCTACTCACAAATAAAGAAGAAACGTACAACACACAGTGGATATTTTAAAAGCTAAAAAATAAGGGAAAAAGAAAAGAGTAAAGAGAGAATTAAAAGGAAAGGTGAAAAAATAAGGGAAAAAGAAAAGTAAGGCGAGAATTAGAAGGAAAGGCTAAAAAATAAAGCAAAAAAAAAAGAGTAAGGAGAGAATTAGAAGGAACGGAGAAAAAATAAGGAAAAAGAAGAAGAGTAAAGAAAGAATTAAAAGGAAAGGCGAGAAAATAAGGAAAAAAGAAGAGTAAGGCGAAAATTAAAAGGAAATGCAAAAAATAAGGAAAAAGAAAAGTAAGGCGAGAATTAGAAGGAAAGGCTAAAAAATAAGGAAAAAGAAGAAAAGTAGAGAATTAGAAGGAAATTCTAAAAAATAATGAAAAAAGAAGAGTAAGGCGAGAATTAGAAGGAAAGGCGAAAAATAAGGAAAAAGAAGAGTAAAGAGAGAATTAGAAAGAAAGTAAAAAAAAATAAGGAAAAAAGAAGAGTAAGGCGATAATTAGAAGAGAAGGGGAAAAAATAATGAAAAAAGAAGAGTAAGGCGAGACTTAGAAGGAAAGGCTAAAAAATAAGTAAGAAAGAAGAGTAAATAGAGAATTATAAGGAAAGGCGAAAAAAATAAGGAAAAAGAAGAGTAAACAGAGAGTTAGAAGGAAAGGCCAAAAAATAAGGAAAAAAGAAGAGTAAGGCGAGAATTAGATGGAAAGGCGAAAAAAAAGGAGAAAAAAGAGTAAGGCGAGACTTAGACGGTAATGCTAAAAAGTAAGAAAAAATAAGAGTAAGGCGAGAATTAGAAGGAAAGGCGAAAAAATAAGGAAAAAGAAGAGTATGGAGACAATTAGAAGGAAAGGCGAAAAAATAAGGAAAAAGAAGAGTAAGGAAAGAATTTGAAGGAAAGGCGAAAAAATAAGGAAAAAGAAGAGTAAACAGAGAATTAGAAGGAAAGGCGAAAAAATAAGGAAAAAGAAGAGTAAACAGAGAATTAGATGGAAAAGCGAAAAAAAAAAAGGAGAAAAAAGACTAAGGCGAGACTCAGAAGGTAATGCGAAAAAGTAAGAAAAAATAAGGGTAAGGCGAGAATTAGAAGGAAAGGCGAAAAAATAAGGAAAAAGAAGAGTAAGGAAAGAATTAGAAGGAAAGGCGAAAAATAAGGGAAAAAGAAGAGTATGGAGACAATTAGAAGGAAAGGCGAAAAAATAAGCAAAAAAGAAAAAGAGTTAAAAAAAGGAGAGAGCCGAAAGTTATGGCGAGAAGCAAACGTTATGTATCATAATTACATCTCTACGGTCAATGGTTACAGCAAAAACAAATGAATCAACAGTAAGTAAAAAAAAAAATAAATAAAAAAAATTCCAAAACAAGAAAACAAAAATGATGGGAATAGAGAACAATTCTACGGCTGTTTTAAAAGACAAGAAAAAGTTGAAATGTTATTGACATACTTAGGCACACGACATGCGAACTTATAGTATGCTATTATAATAGAGCATTGTAGACCATGAAAGAAGTCAGTTGCATCAGGGGTTGATCTGGGGTCACTCTCGATCGCCGAACGGAGAAGCATACAACTTTATAAATGCATCAGGTTTTTCAAGCGTGGGAAAGGTTTGTAATACACTCATTTATATAAACAACCGCCTAATAGAGAAGGTAGGCAGTCTTTGATACATTGTACACGAGAATGTAAGGACAACGTTTCGGTCGAGAACGAGGGTGCGGAGACGAAGTATTAGAGGGAATAAAATGTAAGGTTAAATTCGGAAGATTCAAGTTTCCTATTATTCATTTGGTTCGCTCGTGGTAACATTTAACCGACACATCCACTTCGTTGAAAACTCAGCCCTTATTTGACTGCAGTCCAAGATAATTTCAAAAGAACATATTAAGCCCCAAATAAATGGGATAGAGGAGAAGATTAAGTATAGACTCTGAAGAGACAGGGATAAAAACAAGAACTCATAGAATAATCGAATCAAACATGTTGTCTTGGTAGAAATCCAAATAAATAAACAAAATTGGTGAGAATATTAACCCGAAAAAATCTCTTGAATGATAATAATAATAATAAAGCCAAGATAGGCAGCACATACTGTGGAAATATTAACTAAAACGTCTATCATATTTCACACGACGCAAATATATATACAAATAAATATATAAATAAATATAAAAATATAAAATAATATAAATAAATATAATTATAAACGAATATAAATAAATATATAAATAAATATAAAAAATATAAAATAATATAAATAAATATAATTATAAACGAATATAAATAAATATATAAATAAATATAAATTAATATAAATAAATATAAATATAGACGAATATAAATAAATATAAAAATAAATAAGAGATGATTGAGTAAGAAGAGTGATCTATATGAAGACTCTTGAACAAAACTAAAGATCCAAACTCTTTTATGGAAAGTACTAAAAACGTCTGGAAGAATCAAGCATCGATATTCTCCAAATCCATCAATAGTTTAGGAGTCGTGGTCTTAAGTGGGTGACAATGCCGTATTATGGTAGCACAAGACTTCCAACTAATGCGTACAAGGCTAAAATCAATAAAGATGGCTTAAATCCTGCCTGTCGCTTATGCCATGAATTTGATGAATTTCACATAGTACCAGGATGCTCAGTCCTTATTAAGAAAGAATACATTATTAGACATGACAGGCTAGGACAATATATTCATTGGTATGTCTGTTCGAATTACGGCATTGAAGTTCTGAATATATGGTACAGATACTACTCGGAAAATGTCATAAATGCTGATGTAGTGACTATAGTGTGGAATTTCCCAATCCTCACAGACAGGAAAAATGATGAAAATAGACCAGACATCATCAAAAAAGATTTCAGAAAGGAACCTACCAGTTAATTGATATGGCTTGCTCACAGAATTCCAGGGTTTCTAAGGAAAGAATAAAAAAAAACAAAAAAAAAAAAAAAAAAAAAAAAACTGTCAAATTATAAGGACCTGCAAATCAAAGTAACAAATCAACCATTCGCCCTTGCATGGAGTATTGCTGCCATATATGGTCTGGAGCCCCTTCTGTTTGCCTCGGGGTTCTTGATAAGATCCAAAGACGGATGTGCAATGTAATTGGCCTGTGTCTGCAGTCGCTCTCTCACAGACATGCCGTCGCCTCTCTCTGTCTTTTTTGCAAATACTTTCATGGTAATTGCTCCGATGAGCTGCTTTCTCTGGTTCCCAGACTTCAAGCGTCCTACGAGGCTGGCATCCCGCTCTCACCTTTTCACTGTTGAAACTGTTAAATGTAGCCGTCTCTTCTACTCCAATAGCTTCATGTCTCGCACCTCTCGCCTGTGGAACTCCCTTCCCTTTTCCTGTTTCCCTGATAGCTATAATCTCCAACTATTCAAATGTAATCTCAATCGAGGTCTCCTGATGCCTTGATCTATCCCCTATCCCTCTCTTCATCCTTTCCTCAATCACTCCTATTTGCTCTCGCTCTAAATCCTCTGTAACCCCTTGCGTACTAGTGGCTTCCCGCCTTGCTTGGGGTGAAATGCTTAAAATAAATAAAAATAAGTGAAAACTTAAGACAACTATAATCCTTGTTGTGATACGGACATTGGGTTTTATAAAGAAAGCTACTGAAATTCTTGTGAGTAACATTCCTGGACACATCAGCAGCTCAGAGCTACTAAAGATTACTTTCTGCAGAACTGCACATATCATCTACAAAACATTCTCCATGTGCCTTCAGCCTGCCTCGATCTGGGTAACCTACAAGCAATTCTAAACTGAAACTTTAATCTACGGGGATACACTGTTATCGTTCCAATGCTCACGTCTATGGATATTGTATAGTTTTTATTTTTATTTAATACTGTTCATTTATTGCTCGTCCGCTTCCAATGGGTACAAGTACACACTGCTCGACCTAGAGATTGAACTCACAACCTCTATGTTACTAAATTCACAAACCAAAGTCATTTGATGACATAGTGTTAGTGCTTTTAATCCCTGAACGTGGCAGTGTGTACTTGCACTCAGTAGAAACGGGTAAGCAATAACAGAACAGTACTAAATAAAAAATAGAACTAGTCGATATCCCTAGACGGGAGCAGCGAAACGAGAACGGTCTACTCCCGTAAATTAAATAAAGTGTTCAGTTTTCAGTTCAGAAATATCTGTAGGTTACCCAGATTGATATACACCTGAGGAAGGCCGGAGTTAACAATGGCTGAAATGTTGTGATGTCAACAATAAAGATGAAGACATTAGTCTCAATGTAAATAGTGTAAATACTATCCTGACGGTATTTGAATTATAAATCTTTTTTTTTAACCATTTCAGTAAAATTTTTCTATAAAATTAGTTTCCATTTTTGCATATTCAGAGTTTCTTTTATATTTTAATGATTGGCATATAGGATAAAAGGATTTTAGTCTAGGATTTGAACATACTTGTCTGTTTGTTTGTTTGTGTGTGTGTGTGTGTGTGTGTGTGTGTGTGTGCTACTGTAGGCCCAGCAGAAAAGAAACTGGGCCAGACGACTCGGTTGAAATAAATGGATGAATAAATAAATAAGGCATAAGAAGAAAGCATTTGATGTTTTCTTGGCGATCGAGATTCGAGTCAAAACAACAGTCGGAGAAGCAGTTCAGAAGGTCACGTTGCATGTTCCTCATTCAAGATGGCCGACACCGGTGTCGTAACGTTTTCACACTTGTCTCATCTGTATCAGCCTCAGGACCGCAAGACATTGCTGACAGCTTTGAATAAGCGTTTCCAGATTTTTAGAAAGGTGGAGAAAGAGACAGGGAAAACAGAAGAGAAAATATAAGCCATTTGATTTGTGCATTCCAAAGGGAAAAAATGAAAAGAAAAGAAAGTGAGAGAGAAAGAGAGAGAGAGAGAGAGAGAGAGAGAGAGAGAGAGAGAGAGAGAGAGAAAGTGGATGAGAGACAGAGAGGGAGAAGAAGCGAAGAAATGTTTGTTTCTCTCGTTTGTTTTGCCTCTTCAATTCCAACTAATTTGTGGCTTTGCTTTGTCAGCGTTCTTATAAAATCCTGCAAAGTAGTGAAATTATTTATTTACTTGACGGATTTTTTTTAATATTTATTTTTGTCGCTTTTAGAAGACTTATTTCCTGAGTCTTTCGGATTTTATTTTTTGGTATATATTTTTTTTTTAAATTGTTTTGAAGAAAGCAATTTAATTCATTATTATTTACTTTTTTTATTTTGTTTTTTACTTCACCCTTTTCCAACTGACAACTTTCAGCTTCATTTTCACAGTTTATATTTTACAATTTGTATCAAAGGAGATCAAGTGACAGCAAATTCCGTCAGTATTGCAACACTTTCCTTGGTATTCTGATTTCCATTATTGTGTTGTTTGGTTTAGCGTTTTATTTCAATATTCTAGTCTGTTTGTAGATCTTTTCCAGACTCTTCCAGACTCGGCCAAATAACGCCTTCGCATCCCACATTTTCTTTCGGTTATCTAAGAAAATTTTCATATTTCTAATTTTCAATTTCACTCAGTTTTCTACTGCAGAAGCCGCGTCTACTAACAAATATTCTAGAAAGGCCCATCCGGTCAGGATTGGATTAATCGTTTTAATTTCAAAATCATAGAAAATTTTTAAGTTCTACAGAATTTTTTATTATTATTATTATTATTATTATTTCCTTTGGTTTCTGGCGTGTACACATTTCTTTCCGAGTCACACCCAGAGACCTAAAGTTAGAAATGGCATAATGACTCTTTCCACTGACAAATAATATATATATATATATATATATATATATATATATATATATATATATATATATATATATATAAAATCCTTCGTAAAGTGTGGGCTGTACTTGTCAGAACAATTTTTTGTATTTCTTTAAGGCATGGGCTTCCAGGAATCCCTTCAATTAGTCTACTGGAATCGTTTCCAACCAATCCTAGGGCTCCAACTACAACGAGGATTGTTGATGTTCCCATGTGCCACATTTTTGAAATTTCGATTTCAAGGTCCTTGTATTTTGATAACTTTTTGAATATCTTCAAAATGCATTGCAGTCAATAAGGAGGCACTTATTATTATTAATATTATTATTATTATTATTTCCTTAGGTTTCTGTTTTATACACATATACTTCCGGGTGGGGGCAATTTTCTTCACGATAACGCCATTAGGATGACAGTCGACCAAAACTAAAGACCTCGTCCTACCCATGAGACATGGTCATTCCCAGCTGGGTGATTATTATTCGTAGTAGTAGAAGTTCCTTTGATTTCTGTTTTTTTTCACTTCCGGGTCCCAACCAGAGACCTAAAATCAGAAATAGCTTGATGACATTTTCCACTGATCATTTTTGTAAAAAACACAAAACAAAAGAAACCCTAATATCACACATTTTGAACACAGAGTGTCTCACAAAAAAAAACAAAAAAAAAAAAACATTAAATTTGGTAAAGTTTATTTAATTGTTGGAATTTTTGTTACAATTCTTTGAAATAAAAGCAAAGAATAGAAATTTATTAGCTAAAAACAGAACAAAAACACAAACGTTAGATGTGTGGTGTTCAAATTAAAAAGTTTTTTTTTATATTTTGTTTTTTTTCATCATATAGTAAATCTAAATCTAAAATTTCCTGTTTTCTTTTTGTGGGGCATTCTGTAGATAAAAGCACTTTCGTAAGATGTGATCTATACTTGTGAGAACAATTTTTTGTATTTCTTAAATGCCTCGGCTACCAGGAATCCGTTCAATGAATCTTTTCAAATCAAACCAAGAACTCCAGCTCCAAATGGAATTATTGATGTCCTCATGTGTCAGATTTTTGAGAATTTCACTTCAAGATCCTTGTATTTTGATAGTTTTTTTTTGAAGATCTTCAAAGATACATTGGAGTCTGCAGTGATTGTCATGTCAATCAGACAACATATTATTTTTTTTTCGTTTTACATCACGATGTCTCGGTGATTAGCTTTATTATTTTGTCTGTGTGTATTGTAAAATCCTGTAAAATTGTCACAGGTCCTATGCCTGTAACCGGGTCAGGATGGTGTTTATACTTGTGTCTTGCAGCTTATTTTATGTAAAACTAGAAAATTTTCAAGTGCAGATATTGGTCCACTCTATCATGATGAGTTTTATATTCAGTTGATCCTTACACTGTGCAACCTGAGATAAGATTATCAATTCTTTCTGGATATTTATCACATAATTTGCATTTGAGTTTAACACGATTTTTCAGTATGTGTATTTGGTAATTTCTTGTTAGCAAGAATTGGTCCTGTGCAGCAAGAATAAAACATTCGGTTTCAGCTTTTAACCCTGCATTATGTAACCACTGATAGGTACAGGGTTTGTCTACATCGCCTTGTTTTGTACGGGCAGAGTATTGACCACGAAGAGACTTACCTTGCTATCATTTCTGCATTTGGCAAATTGTATTTGTTTTTGCTTTCTTTTTTAGGGTCTTTGCCGCTGTAGTCGGTGTATTATGGTTTATACGCAGTTCTTTATCTATTTGAAATTCCCTTTTGAATTTATTGGCTTCCTTTATTAATGAAAAAAAAATGTTTCTTATTTCTTTCATGTTCTTTGACACAGATCATCGCCTCGGCTTCTGTAGTTTCTAGGCATCTTTGAAGACCGATTATTGTAGTTTTGTAAGACAGTTCTAGTTGAACTAATCTGCTTCTTTCGGATCTGATGATCAACAGAAACCTTAGAATGATGCATACGGTGGCAAATGAGAAGCTTTCTCGTTTTGACATCCATTCACTTAATGTCATCTATGACCTAGTTAAGGATGTTAAAAACGTATGGCACCACAAGGATATCGAAGGTGTTCATGGCTGATATTCTGGGTTGTGAATTCAAGTCGGTATTTAAAAGCAAACGTACACACCTTTAATATTCTTTTCTTACTTTTACCATCTTTTGGTTCTGCTGAATTCCATCTTCTTCGATGAAGGTATTCATAGGCTTCTTCTTGTTCCAGTTCCCTAATCTTTGTCACAAAATTCAGATCTATTGAATGTGTTTTTGTAATTCTACCTTTCTTGAATGTTACTTTTGCACATTTATCTAATCCGGAATCCATACCGATGTCATCACTGAAACATTTTACAGTATTGAAGATACACTTCAACACAATGTCGTCTGTGACAAAGAGTTTCCATGTAGAATAGGTGACTTTCTTTTTTTACTTTGTATCCATAATTATTATTGTTTAGTTCACGTGAAAGGGGGGATTAAGGACGGACAGAACTGAAGGGGTGACAGAGAGTCCACTTGGAAGATTCCACGTCGGATATTCAAACGATTGGAAGTGACAACGCTCTTGCTGTGATTTAGGTATAATGTGGGTTTTCACGGTACGATACTATATTTGAGGAAATTTATTATCACCGAGGATGGATGGCTCAATATCAAAGGCTTTATAGTAGTCTATCCAAAATGTACTGAGATTTCGACTTTTTCCTGCAGTTTTCTGGGATCATTTTATTCATTAATATTTGATCTTTGCAACCATATGAACCTATTATTATTATTATTATTATTATTATTATTATTATTATTATTATTATTTCCTTTGATTTCTGTTGTGTACACATTTCTTTCCGGGTCCCACTCAGAGACTTAAGGTTAGAAATAGCATCATGACACTTTCCACTGAATAATTAAAAAAAAAAAACACACACACACACACACAAACATAATTTACATAGATAAAGCTCTTCGCAAGGCGTGGGCTGTATTCATGAGAACATTTTTTTTGTATTTCTTTAAGGCATGAACTTCCAAGAATCCCTTCAATGTGTCTTTTGGAATCTTTTCCAACCAACCCAAGAGCTCCAACTACAACAGGGATTGTTGATGTTCTCATGTGCCACATTTGTGAGATTTCGATTTCAAGGTCCTTGTATTTTGATAACTTTTTGAAGATCTTCAAAGATACATTGCAGTCTGAAGGGACTGCCATATCAATAAGGAGGCATTTTTTTGTTTTGTTTTCGGTCTCTAATAACAATGTCTGGGCGATTAGCTTTGATTGTTCTGTCTGTGTGTATTGTGTAGTCCCATAAAATTGTAACAGGTCCTATCTTCGTAACCGGGTCTGGGTGGTGGTTCATACCAATTTCTTTCAGTTTCCTTCACGTAGAAGTTGCAGATTTTCCAGTGCAGATATTGGCCCACTCTGTCATGTCGGTGTCAATATCGTGCAACCTGATAAAAGATGATCAATTGTTTCTGGATATTTATCACAGAATCTGCATTTTGGGCTAACACAATATTATAGTATGTGTGCTTGATTATTTCTAATTAACAAGCATTGGTCCTGTGCAGCAAGGATAAAACCTTAATTTCAGGTTTCAACCCTGCACTATGTAGCCACTGATGGGTACGGGTTTTGTCTACATCAGCTTGTTTGGTACGGGCAGAGTATTGACCGTGAAGCAGTTTATCTTGCCATCGTTTCTGTATCTAGTCGGTTGCTTTTGCTTTCTTTTTAAAGTATTTTGCAGCTTTAGTCGGTGTATTGTGCTTTACTTGTATTTCTACACCCATTTGAAACTCCATTTTGAACTTGTTAGCTTCCTCTATTACGGAATAAAGTCGCTTACTACTTTCATGTTCCCATATCATCATCCAGTCTTCTGTAGTTTCCATGTATCTTTGAAGGCCAATTGTTATAGTTTAGTGGGACAGTTCTAGTTGAACTAATCCTCTGCCTCCTTCGGATCTGGGCGTATACAGACAATCAACATAAACTTTGGCATGATGCATGCGGTAGCAAGTGAGAAGCTTTCTCGTTTTGGCGTCCATTCGCTTAATTTCAGCTAGGGTCCAGTTAAGGTTGTTAAAACTGTAATGCACCACAGGGACAGCCAAGGTGTTTATGGCTGATACCATCTCTACGCTAATTCCTATAGGTTTCTTTTTGTTCCAGTTCCCTAACCTTTGTGACAAAATCTAAATCTATTGAGTGTGTTTCTGTAAATCTCCTTTTCTTGACTGTTAGTTTTGCACATTTACCTAATCCAAAATTCATACCTATTTCGTCACTGAAACATTTTACAGTATTGAGGAGGCCCTTTCAACTCATTGTCGTCTTTGTCAAAGAGTTTAAGGTCATCCATGTAGATTAGGTGATTGAATACTTTCTTGTTTAGTTTGTATCCATAGCTATTATTGTTTAGCTCATGCGTAAGGGCAGGGTTAAGGACAGGCAAAACAGAAGGGCTGACAGGGAATCTTGTTGAAAGATTCCACCTCGGATATTCAGACGGTTTGAGATGGCAGTGCCTCTGGTGTGATTTAGGTATAGTGTGGTGTTTAAGGAAATTTACTATCACAGGGGAGACTTTGTACATTTCCCAAGTTTTAAGGATCCAAGAATGTGACACACTATCAAAGGCTTTACGATAATCAATCCACGCTGCGCTAAGATTTCTATATCGTCTCCTG